AAGAAAGAAGGAGAGAGAGGGACACATCACTGTGCAAGAGAAACATCAATTGGTCGCCTCCCATACCTGCCCCCAGGAATTGAACCCAAAATGTAGGTATGTGCCCTGACCGGAATCGAACCCACAACCTTTTTTGGCGAATGGGACGATAATCAACTGTGCCACCCAGGTGGACACAAAGGTGGTATTCTACAGGCTCTACCAACCCATTACCGAAGAAAAAGATAAAGATAAACCCAAAGTCACCTGAGCCTGCGGCATTTTCTCGTTCTCTGAAAAGAGACAGAAATGGGCGGCTCTGTCTTGCTGTGTCTGGGTCAGCTCTAAATTTCTGTTCAGAAATCTGTCCTCAGTCAGGTGTGTCCCCGGAATTACTGATACCCAGTCTTGCAGCTTTTCCTGCTTCACATGATTCTATTGTTCCTGGTGTCGTCGTAAGTTATGTCCAAACCTGTAGAGAATTTTTATGAGTTTATTTGAGCCAAACTGACAATTGCGGGGAAGCAAAAGAACAGATTGAGACAATGCTTTAGACAATAACGGTTCTGTACCTCATTTTACACATTAGAATAAAAGAAAAAGGCCCAAGAGGGTTACATGAAATCCATCGGTGATGGATTAGGCAAGGGGGAGAAAGCAAAGCAGGGAAATCTCTGGGATTGGATAAAAAGTAAAAGGAATAGACATACGTCTACCTAGGTGGCAAGAGGATGATTAACAGTTAAGAATTCACACGATAACAATAACAATGAGGGGCTCTGTAATCTCTTGCTCTAGTGGGAGATTGTGCAGAGTGGTTTGAAAAAAAAATTTACCCTGACATTCCAAACGTGTTATTCTTGATGCAAAACAACAATGGACAGGCTTAGTTAAGGCACAGAGTGCCCTTTGTTAAGAAATATACCAGTCTAAGACATGACTGCCCACCATGACTTGCTTTTAGTTAGAACGTTTTAATTTTAGATCGTCCTTTCTGGTTGCTTTCCCCCTCTCAGTTTGTAAGGCCTACCGTGCAGACCTCTCCTGAGCTTGTCAGGTTTAGTATGTGGTCCCTTTTGTGACCACACTGAGGAAGTTACAACCTGTGGTGGGTTGAGGAGAAAATTCCATGAGTAGAACACTTCCTCTGGGACCCCATGCTACAGGGCTCCTAATCACCATGTCCACAGTATCGATGGTGTTCCTTTATTTGGTCTCCTGGAAGTATTTACTATTCAGGTCAATGAATCCTTAGGTTCTAAATTTACTGGAGGAGTTCCTTTATTCTCTGGAATTAAGAGGAGTGATTGTGAAAAAAGATGAGAGAAAGGACATTGTAGGGGCAGAACAATTTCTTCTTTTCTAGGTACTTTGGCTGGTCTAATAATTAAACTAATATAACACAGATTAATAGGGGAAAAACAATCAAACAGGTTACTGCATACATGGAAGTGACCTAAGAAAATGTCCAAATTGGCAGACGCCATCACCTGAAATACCACCTTCACCTAAAGTCAAAAGATGTTGGGGGTGGTGAGTCACTCATGGGAGGTTGCCAAAAAAAAAGCACAGTAAAGAAGCTTAAGGTTGTGCTGGGCCAGCGTGGCTCAGTGGTTGAGAATCAACCCATGAACCAAGAGGTTAAGGGTTTGATTTCCTGGCCGAGCATAGGCCCGGGTTTCAGGCTCAATCCACAGTAGGGGGCATGCAGGAGGCAGCCGATCCATGATGTTTCTCTCATCTCATTGATGTTTCTATTTCTCTATTCCTCTCCCTTTCTCTCTCTCAAATCAATAAAAATATAATTAAAAAAAGAAAAAGTCTAAGTTGTTATGCAGATATGTCTTGTTTCCTCCACTGATAGCTAAGGTGGGTTGGGTACAGTGAGGAAGACACCCTTGCAGATGTCATTGCCCGTACAAATTTAAATATCCTTCAAAAGGGATAACTTCTACTAGATTTTCAGAGCTTTTCCCAGGGCTGTAGTTTCTTCAAATTAAGCAGCCTAAAATAACCAATATCTCAAAAAGGCATATTTTAGGGTGGCAAACTGCTCCCCTTCAGAGTCAAGGAAATATGTATTTAAAAGACAAAATTCTCTGCCAAAACTAACAGATTTTCGCATATATAGCTGGCTAGAACTGCCCACCGTACCTAACAGCGAGAACGGGAACCACCACAATCAACTAAAACAGACCACAACTTACTAGTACCCTGGGATACGGGTCACCCTGCCAGAGGGATGGATATTACATTTTCTGGAAGAGACAGATGGACATGTTCCCGTCTGCAGACCAAAACGTCTCTGTCACAACGACCCAATTCTGCCTTCGCAGCGACAAGGGTGCCACAGAGGACACGTGACAACGGGCGCTGCTGGTCTAGTCCCGGCTCCGTGGGTGGAGAGCTGCTGGGTGACAGTTGAAAACGGAGGGGCTGGAACGAGCGCCCTGGGCCCCGCTGCCTCCGTCCAGACGCCGCCGAGGCCTCGGCCTTCACCGAGCCCCGGGCGCCCCAACTCCGCCCCCACGATCCTCCGGGACCGGACCCCGGTCACACCTCCTGGTTCACGGGAAACCCGGGCGGGCGCCCCGCGACCCCGACGGCCCGGCGCCTCTCGCCGCCTGTTACACCCCCGACCTGAACCCCACGCCGCGGTCACCTTAAATGCCACGCGCGCCCCCTGCAAGTGGGATGACCCGCAGGACCCCGCACCCGGACAGTCGGGACAAGGGCGTCACCNCACCTCCACAGACGCGTCAGCTGCGCCCCGGGTCCCGGGCCCCCGCGACCTCGCACACGCGCGCCCCGTTCCCCTCAAGTCCCGTTCGCACGTGGGTCCCCTCCGCCACCTCCACTCGGGAGTCCTGCCCTCCCCCGGCCCCGGGGACCATCCCACGCTCCACACACCAGCACGTCCACACGTCGCCCAGGGAGAAACAAAACTCCTCCTGTGACGAAAAAACTTCTGGGGACAAAGCCACACACTCACCTGAGTTTTTCGCGCAGACCTTACAAAGAGCGCAAAGGCGGTCTCTCAGGAGCCCCTCAACCTCGGCTCGGGCCCCCTCCGTCTACGGTGGCCGAC